TGAGATTTGCCACTTCCAGGGTTTCCAGAAATGTACAAGTAGCTCAATCTGTTCTCGTTGGCCTTTTTGAGCTCTTTCAACTGTTTTGCAATTTCAGCCACCTCGCGATCACGATCTGCAACTTCGTGTGAAGGTTTAGGCGGAAGGACGCAAAAGGACGAAATTTCTTTGCGAAGCTGAGCTTCGAGTACCTCAACCTTTTTTAACACATTGTTCAGTTCCTCGGTGGGGAAACTCTCCTGATTACAAACCATTTGAATTCGCTTCCTGGAGAGACCAATAGCTTGGAGGGCATCTTTAATTTGTTGAATGATATCTTTAAACTTTGTGCCTTCGATCTTGCCGAGTGGAATGTGCGCATAAAAGTTATTACGAGCCTTTCTTAGTTTCTCCAGTGCTTCTACACGATCGGGCTTGAGGGACCAACCGATACAATCAGAATAACGGATAGCATAGAACAACTTGGTGCAATCCCACTCAGCTGTATTTCCGTTAACTATGATTTCCAGTTCTTTTGCATGTCTCTTACGGTTGTTTGGATGTTCACGTTTCCGAAAGTCCCGTCCATTTTTTTGCAAGTCCTTCCATTCTCCAAATTTTCTTTTGTAAAGTCGATTCCACCTCTTTTTGAAGAATAGTCGCAGACTCCCGGCAACTTCATCAGTGATGATATGGCAAAGCTTAAAGTAGTTGAGTTGTTCGTTAGAGTACTCTGCTGTGGCCATATTCGGCTTGATCCTTGCTTGCTGTTGAGAGTGAATCACATGTGTTTTAAGCTTCAGTTACTGAATTCGTCTTTTAAGGTAAGCTAATGCTATGTGGCTCAGAGGAACATATACATGGTCAGATTTATCAGCCCATAATTCGCTGAAAGCAAAAATAAGACCGAAAAGTGAAGTTCTGCTAAATGCACGTTTCACTTTCTACACGACTAAGTGGTAATGGACCTAGCGCGAATATTAATTGAGTAGAATGCAACCAAGGCCAGCAGTTGAGTAGAACTCCAGCTGTCTGATCGAATAATGGCTCTTTCCCACTTCTTCTTGCTT